TATATTCACTATGAGCTTGGGGCAAATAGGTCTTTTAGCTAGTAGAAATAATAGTTCATCTTCTTTTAGTATACTTAAATACGAGGTTTGATTTTTTGAATTATCAGATATTTCTGCATTATTTATCAATACCAATAATGCTTGCAGAGTTTCTTAGAAACTTGTTCTACTAGGATTATTATTAATATCATTATTATTATTATTTGGTAGGTGATTATTAGCAGAAGAATTATTTTAAATATTAGATGATTCAGGACAACTTCTACTATAATATCCAGCATATTTACAAGTATAACAAGTAACAGTTGGTTAGACATAATTTTCAAGTCAAGATTGAGATAATGATTGTCACTAGTTCTGAACTTGAGTTATTAATTTATTAATACTATTAGTTAAAGTTTTTAAAACTTCAATAGTTTAATTTAAATTAATACTTAAATTGTTAATCAAAGTAGAAGTACTATATAGAGGTTGGATGATAGACTATACAAAATAAGCAGTGTAAACAGACCCTTGCTTATAAGCACTTTTGAATGCTTTCACCCACATATATACTTTTTTAAAGTATTAAAAGTAAGAGGTAACACAGCTATAATCAATTCAGAATAAAGTTTATTAATAAATATTTGAGCTTTAGCTATGTTCGAGTATTAGTAATCTCTTAACTCTACTTTTCAAATTAACTCCTCAATAGCTGTATGATATTTACCTACAGTTTTACTTAGCACTTGCTTTCTTTGAGTTAGTTGCACAAAATATTCCTTTCTAACTCAGATATTCTAAATTTATTAATAAAATATATAGTAAAACTTTGGTGTAGAACCAAAGAATCATGCTATCTATTAATAATAGGCTGTTGATTTCTTCTTGTAGCCTACCATATTGTAGCTAGACCCTTGAGCATTAGAATAATCACAAAAATCTTTTGAAGTGATGATATAAGATTGGCTTCAAAGGCTTTATCAATATCTTCAAGCCAAGTTATAGGATCTTGGTCTCTTCTATAAAATTTAGAGTAAGATATAGATTAAGTTCTCTAGGATTAACAAAAATATTAACTTGTGGAGGTGGTGCAGTTTGTATCTGCTGAACCAAAGTAGCAATTTGGTTAGCTAGATTATATAAAGAGTTATTTAAGTTCAATTAGGCTGGTTGTTGATTTGTTGATTAATAAATATTTTTATTTAAGATCTATAACTTCTTTAATATAAATATCTTTTTTAATCCACACAATTGATACCAAATATTACTATTGTATAGAAGAGCTTATAGGACTATTAGCAGAGTTTAGCTTCTATAGTTAACTTATATATTCTTTATATTAGAACTAAATTAATATACAATCAAACCTCTATAAATGCAACATGTATAGACTAGTCTAAAACATGCATTTAGGAAGGCTTGTATTTAGAGAAAGCTAATCAAATTGCAGCTTTTAATATTTGATCTGCAGACTTGTGTAATAAACTTAAATACTA